GAGGGTTATGTAAACAGTTTCTCATAATTATCCAAAAATTCTAACCCAAACCAAATTATCCATACACCCTCCCCCGTCAAGTGGTCAAAAATGGTCGCCCCTAAAAAGAGGAAATTGCGCACTTTGTATGGATCTCCCAGTTCAAGATTTGGCGCCGTCAACTCTAAGCCAATGGCGATTGCGTTGCTGAGCAAATTCAAGGATTCGTTTAGCGTCGAATGCGTTTCCTGATATTGAGTCGGTCGGTCGGATTGAAAAAAAAACCTAAAAAACAAAATCACAAGAGGTTTCGGAATAGGAGGCCCTGGTACCCCAGGACGACGTTAAAAGTTAACATTCACATATTTTATTTATTTTTATTTATTTTATTTGACTGAATTAAATTCAACATCTGAAATTAAACCAAGTCTCTCAGTTGCTACAGTTGTGGTACAGTACAGTAAGCTCTAGCAGCCATTTTTGTCTCGTCACGCAATGCTCCTCCTCCTTTGTTGGGGACGAGACAAAACACGGCTGTGATCGAGAGAGACTAGCTCAGCACGGAATTAACAAGACGTTTCAACCGTTATTTCATTAATAGTAAGAATAATAATAATAATAATAATAATAATAATAAGAAGAAAATAAATATTATTACTATTATTAATATCAATATTGATAATAATAATAATAATTCACATGAAGATCTGGATCAGCTACTGATTACTGAGCCACAATACCGATTTTGAAATAGCATGCACGTTGTTATTTCGGAAATTGTTACATTTTGCGTTATTACATTATGCATTAGAAAAGTTATTACAATTTGCGTTTAAAGATTATTACATTTTGCGTTGAAAATTTTATTACATTTTGCGTTAGTATTACATCTTGCGGCGATTCTTATTACATTTTGCGACGATTATTACATTTTGCGGCGTAACAGACCGCTTCTCTCCTCTTAACCTGCTTTTTAATTAAAAAAAAAAAAAAAAAAACTTCAACGCTGTCGGTTGTACACACTACTCTGTCAGTTGTGTACATTATTTACTCGGTCAGTTGTAAACGTTTACCCTGTCGTTTGTACACACCACAAGGTCAGTTGTGTGCATCATTTAATCGGTCAGTTGTAAACATTTGCTCTGTCGGTCAGTTGTGTACATTATTTACTCGGTCAGTTGTAAACATTTACCCTGTCGTTTGTACACACCACAAGGTCAGTTGTGTACATTATTTAATCGGTCAGTTGTAAACATTTGCTCTGTCGGTCAGTTGTGCACATTATTTACTCGGTAAGTTGTAAACGGGTAATTTCTTACTTTTCTAAAACATGTTTCCCGTCTTGATGTAAGATTTTACAAAGTAAACGTCTTAAAATAATAGCCTCTATTTTTGTTTGGCGTCTTCGTTTAAGAAAAACCCGTCTTACCTTAAGTTTGTAACATATCATTTAAGAGGAGTGACATGTTAAAGTGATCTTAAAGAAGTTTTAAGATGTTTTTGATTAGTTTGAAATCTTTGAGAGGTGGGCATCTTACTTAAGAAGCAAATTATTATCTTAAACTGAGAAGTTAGAAGTTACTTTTACTTAAAAGTATGTTCTGTATACCTACAAAACGTCTTTCTGGAATTTCGTAATTCAGCTCAAACTCTGCATAAATTTGTTGGGAAGCCATTTGATGAAATTAAAATGCAAGCCAACTCAGATGCTATCGTGTTTTAAGCTTGTGTTATAGATGATTTAACACAAAACAATAGGCAGAAAAATTATTCTTGAAAATTTTTATTTAATTATGGAACCGGCGATGTATTTATCCTTTTAAATTCGCATCACAATTCGATCATCGATCCGTACTGACACGCGAAAACATGACTCCGGCTAAGTCGAAAACGTGGCAATTAAAAATCAGCACTAAACCTTCTGAAAACGTGTGCAGAACATGTATAAGAAAATTCATATTAAAAACGCAATTTTCTTAACCATAAGGTACAAAGTGTACCTGAAATTCACGGTTAAATTTCACGACTCGCAAAACGAGCGCAACATGATCAGATTCCTCGAAGGATCGAAGACAAATGGAAAGGCAAACAGTGAGCATTATTTTGATATTCTCTCTCCATCGATGTCTTTAAACAGTGCAAGTTTTCAACCTCGCAAAGTGAAATTTTACGCAAAAATTCTTCGCATTTAGTTTTTTTTTTTTTTCAAATTTCGGATCAAAACATCCAAAGTGCCTCTCGTTGGTTTACCTATGATGCTGCTAATCAGAGGAAAAGAAAATGGCAAAACAAAGAGAAACCGCCAGCGTGGAAAAGTTTTACTGTGGACGACATCTTCTGTTTATGGGACACAAAAAAAAGAAGATACAGAACTCTTCATTGAGGAAGCCAATGCTTACCACCCTACTCACATCAAGTTTACTCAAGGGCACCCAACGTCAATTTTTGGAAAATATCTGTTAGGAAGACGATTTGAGATCTAGAATTTTCGGAACATTTGTAAAATTTCTTGCTTGCCTGCTTCTCCTAGGCTTTTCGAACTTCTAAAAAATGGTATAACTGCCCATTTTTAACTGATTTTTACCCTAAAAAGGTCACCTAGAATTTTCGGGAGCCTTTTTCTGGCTGAAATTTTCGAAAAGGTAAGTTTTGATCTCTATAATTTTTGGATCACTGGACTTTCAGCTAAGAAATCCGAACAGATGAAAAAATTTTAGGGGATAAAAATATGCCTATATCTACCGTTTAAATACTAAAATACGTTGAACTATGCTATGTTTAAGTGGTTTTGAATTATATTCTCCTTGGGTGCCCCTGTTTACGGGTGAAATATCAGAAGTAGACTCTTGGACACATAAGTGTACAAAGAGGTGGGTAAATGGGGGCGGGAGGGGGTCCTACGCACGTATCTGCACTGACATTAAAGTGTGGAAATAACGCATCACGAGGATTAAAATCCCGCGTTCACGTTTCACGGAAATTTCCGAAGTAAAAGGACAGTGCATGGCAGGACCTGCTCAGAATGCTGCTGTCTGCAGAGTTTATGATGAGTTACTACAGTAATTGAGGTTTAATAGTAGAGCCGATGTTTTGCTTCATGTGCCTCCCGCACAACTAGTGCAGAGAAGTAAGGGAGGCAGGTAGACATACAATGAAATGTAGGTGAAGGTAAACTGATGATGACTAATGCTGACGGGTAATAGAACTCAAAAGGAACGTCATTTGACTTTCCCTTGTCTCAAAGTTGACTTTGACCGTTTTCCGCCACGAGTACAGTCGAAACTTCACGTGCGACCACTTCTCGTAAGCGATCACCTCCGATAATTAAGCGACCGCCAATCCAAAACACCAAAATTTTTCCCGTTAAAGCCTTACAGTTTGAACCTCTGGTAAACGACCATCTCCTTTGGACCTGACAGTTAATAATTTTCCATTGTTTTTAAACTCTTGTAAGCGACCATTTGACACATTATCTGATCCGTCTATTTTCGCTGTTTGCACTATGTTATTTAGAATATACAGACAACTTTAGTGAGAAAACGGAACTACATATATCCTAACTTAGACATTGCATGCAATAAATTATCTTCCATAAAGTAGATGTGTCTGGACCTCTCCTCGGAAGAGACTACCCTGTTACTGCCATGAAACGTTCACGATAGCCGGTGTTAAGATATAGGCGTTTAGAAAATTGAAATTGGCTTAGAACACGGTTTGTTAAACACTGGCTAAACTCCCTTGAAGGTCCACTGGCTTCACTGCAAAATTTGTTTTCAGTTAAAACTCCATTTTCACGAAAAAAATTGTTGAAAGTCACGAATATCGCATAAAAAATTTTAAAGTTCACGTATCGCCACAAGCAAACCACTCACAGTTCACGAATTTTCATTTTATATTTTCGCCTTTCACGAAATTAAAAGCACTTAATCCCGTATCACCCAATACCCCCTTTCACCTCCTCTACAAAGGAAGAACGATTCGAGAAAGAAAGAATCCTCGATTTGCGTACACATTTTAAGCCTTGTACTGAAACATTTTAGTGCCACACTCCAACAGTTGTCACCTAGCGTGCGTTTATATAAAAAAGGTTTTGTCAAAGGAGAAGCTCTCAGGCTTCCCAGGACAAACTCTTCAAAAGCTATGTTTGAGGGGAACGTTAGAAAATTCAAAACACGCCTTATCTCTAGAGGATGCCCGAAATAAAAGGTAGGAAGGAAGCTCTCAAACAAAAATTGGGAACGCACAAAAAGATTCTACCCTTTGTCACACAATTTCAACCGTCATTGTACCAAACTTGAAAAACATACTTATGGACAAATGGCATTTAATACAAAACCAGCCGTTGCCCAGAGAGATATTCAGGGAGCCTCCCTTGATCTCTTATAGAAAAGGAAAATCGTTAAAAGATATGCTTGTTAAAGCAGAACTTTAAAAAGGCTTTGAAAGACACAATGGGCGCACAGCAGGAGTCGTGCTGGTCTGTCTAAACCCATTTTTAATATGAGAGTAAATGTTTACAACCTACCGAGTACGTAATGTGCACAACTGACAGAGTTTACACAACCGACAGAGTAAATGTTTACAACGGACTGAGTAAGTAATGTACACAACTGACAGAGTAGTTTGTACAACTTTACAGCCGCCAGGGTAGTGCGCACAACTGACTGAGTGAAATGTTTACAGAGAGTAGTAAATGTTTACAACTGACCGAGTAAATAATGTACATAACTGGCAGAGTAGTTTGTACAACCGACAAAGTAAATGTTTACAAACGACAGATGGCGTTCAGCCTGGCGACAGAGTGAATGTTTGCAACTGACAGAGTAGTGCGTACAGCTGACAGCGTAATATACCAATCGACAGAGTAAATGTTTACAAGACTTACAACCGACAGAGTAATGTACACAAGTGACAGACTTAAATTTCAACTGATAGTCTTTCTCTAAACCCCACAAACAGAGCGCCATACTCATTCGCTGACACTTCGCTTCGAAAAGCAAGGAGCGCCGGAAGGTTACAAAATGCGGCCCAATCATTTTTTGATCCTTGCTCTCCTGTTTTCGTCGTTTTCGTTGTTGGTGCTCAAAGTTCATGGTGATCCGCCACATATTTTGCTGATAGTCTTAGACGATTTAGGATGGAGTGATGTTAAGTTTCATGGTTCAAAAATCAACACTCCAAACAGGGATAAACTTGCTTCTGAAGGCGTAATACTGGATAATTACTATGTACAACCAATTTGCTCTCCAACCAGGGGTGCTCTCCTTTCCGGAATGTACCCTATACATACAGGTAAAAATGCGTCGCGCAAATTAAGCATTACTGCCATTACTTGTACCGCTTTCTTAGCATAGCTTGTTGTTTGTTGAAGTGTCATCGCTGCGCACTCGCAATTTTTTCCAGCAGTTTCAATGCCATCGTTGAACTCATTCCTCTGGTTTACGGATAATTTCTTTTCCGGGTAGGGGTATTTACAAGTGATTACCCTAAAAGCCATGCAAGAGAGAAACTTCTGCTCGCAGGGTAAAAAAAATTTAGTTCGGTCCTGAGAAGAACTTGGTCAATACCAAGCCTTCTTGACCTAACGCTTGGTCATTAACTTTATAACACTGTTTCAAAGCGAACACATTGATTGATTGTAGGGTTACAGAACGGAGTTATACGATCTACGGAGCCATATGGACTTCCACTTAACATCACCATCTTACCGCAGAAACTCAAAGAAGCAGGTAAGGACAAACTGACTTCAACAACCTTGTGCTAACTAGTTCCATTTACTCCCAAATGCTTGGCGTACCCAATCAATGAAAATCGATATCCAGACTGCGTTCAGTCTATTATTTCTGTTTTTTAAAATCGCAGTAGATGGACAGCACGAGTGAGAAGAAGAGCAATTCTTTTTCCTCTCTCTACCCCCAAATCTCCCCTACTTTTAATCATTTGTAATTTGCTGGCATTATTTTACTTTCTCGCTCGCCCTTGGCTCCAAGGAAAGAGGGACGACCACTCCCGATCTAATCGATATCAATCATTTTGCAAATTAATGGTTAGTGAATTGAATTGAGTGAAGTGCAATTTAGTCTGTATCTGATCGGACGGGCGCGCAGCGTGACTAAAAAAAAAAAAAAGTGGATGAGGTTTTTGTCATATCCGGAATAATCATATTATTCCTCGATTATTTAGGATATCACAAAAACCGAATCTATAATAATAGTTTTATTATGCATTGCTTTGAAGAAAATAACGAGAAACACACTGTCGCAAGGAACCTGAATTGACATAATTGTTATTGAAATTAGTCAGTTATCTGCTAGCAGATAACTAATTAATCTGTAGGTTGCGGTGATTTCCCAAAAAAACTGTAGGCTTTTAGCCAATGAGAAGACAGATAATGAGTACAATGTATAATAATAATGCTTGTATGTATCCGTATCTCCGTATGTTACCTCTTTGTTACATACGAATGACATGCGAATATAAGGGAAAAAATGTTTTGCGCTACCTTGCGCTAAATGGAATAATTCACTTAGGTTGCATTTTGAGACATTATTAAAATTTGTCATAAATACATCTTTGCATGGTTTTTTAAAGTTACATTTCTCAACATTGTTAGACTTGAGGATTGTTTAAAAAGATGAAAAAGGCATTCGAATGTTTCCGTATGTTACTTACTTGACAATCGTATGCATCCGTTATCCTGCGTTGCAGCCGGCCCACGCACTCGTCTAAACCATTTGTACATTCAGTCTGCATAGTCTATATAGAAGGTTTAGAGCGTCTGCGACGCAGGCTAGCATCCGTATGTTGCTTGCATGTATCCCTATATAACCCGTAAGTTTCTCGTATGTATTCACTTAGTAAAAGCGAAGTTAATCTGTTTCAGTAACAAATATCGACGAAATATGGCTGTGTAATGCTTTTCCGACCCGGGGCCAACTTTACGCATGAACACACAGGCAATCACTGATTTTAACTGGTAACTTGGAAACAAATGATACATTTGTCAATTTTAACAATTACCATTGAAGAGTGGGACCAAAGGATCCCATTTCTTGTTTGTAGGATTTTTTGTAGATACTTGTTTGTAGGTTTCAATTTTATACACTTTTTTTACATTTTTAGCTAAGGGATCTTGTTGAAGGTTCTACAACCCGCCCAGATGTACTGTCTTTGGGCGCCACTAAAAACTATATTTCAAAAGCTTTAAAATGCACTCATTTTTATTTCACAACAGGATATTCTACACATATGATAGGAAAGTGGCATCTGGGATTCTGTAGCTGGTCATACACTCCACGATACCGTGGCTTCGATTCATTTTATGGCATATATCTTGGCGCTGGAGATCATTACACACACGAAACAGCCAGAATTCTTGATCTACATGATAACGAAACGCCTGTAGAAAATAAAGACGGAGTTTATTCTACGTATCTTTACGCTGAGGTTTGCAATAACAATAGATTTTTATTTATTCTTTTTTTTTTTTTTTCGTTTAGCTGTTTCACCTACCTGATCATACGGAGAAAAGAAATGTAGTACTTTTTACCACAAAAAAAATCTTCCGGATCTTGACTGTCGACTGTCATATTTTTTTGTGACAAATGTATGAGAGTTGCGGAAATGAAATCAAGTGAAGAATGGTCCTTGCAGTTGTGAACGCAATTTATGCAATTGCGTAAGAGAAGCCCGCAAAAAATTCACGACTTCAACGGGATTTATACCCTTGACCTAGCGATACCAGTGCGACGTTCTAACCAGCTAACGCGCGGGGTGGGGGGTGTACTGCCATACATGGGCTATATAGGTATGTGCCGCTGTGAAGGGTACGGTTTTCAAGCGGTTTACTCTAGGATAGGGTATATACATCAGAACATTTGGGTCTAGAATAAGGTATCATTTTTCAGAAAACTGATCAGTTGGTTGAAGATTTTATCTAGACCAGGGAAACAGCTACTCTATAGGGAGGATTTGGGGCGTTTACTCTAGCATAGGGTAGCAAAATTTAGCTGAACTAGCTCTGGTATAGGTTAAGGGTTCCAGGGTCCCAGCGGTACTTCCCCACCCAGAAATTCCTAAAGTGCCTCCACCCCCCCAGGGCAAACTAAGCTATGAAGCCACTGATGCTGGGAGCAGGTCATGTGTTCGGTATCGCGAGGTCTCGGGTTCAAATCCCGTTAAAGTCCTGAATTTTTTTCAGGCTTCTCTTACGCAATTACATAAATTGCGTTTACAACTGCCAGGATCATTCTTCACTTGACAAGATATTATTGTTGATTAGTCAGGAGAGGAAAACATTAAGGAACAGGACAGCAAACAGTTCCAATACATAAAAGTCTGGAATTACAAGCCTCGACCATTCTTTTTTGAATTTAATAGATATATATATACAAATTTTAGCGTCACCTGCCCCCAACACAGTAAAGTGGATGTCAATTTCGAGCGCTTTTTATTTGCAGCAAGCACAGAAGGTAATTCTATCCCACAATGCCTCGACACCATTGTTTTTATATCTACCATTTCAAAGCGTCCATAGTCCTCTGCAAGTTCCCACCGAGTACACGGAAAAGTACGAAAACATCACAGATGATGACAGAAGAATCTATGCAGGAATGGTTGAAAATGTTGATGAAGCAATAGGAAATATAACAGAGGCCATGAAGACAGCTGGGTGAGTAGATAATAAGGAGAGATCTGGACCTGTCAGATAAAACATCCATTTATTTGAGATCAAAGTTACATTAGGGCACCCATAAGAATTTGAAGTGCCCATTCGTAATAAGCACTTAGGGGTACGGAAGCAGGGATCATAAGTAAATTCCGGGGGAGAAACAAAAGGAAATACGATATTAATCCCCGGGGAAACCCTTTACTTGTCATTCCGTTAAGGGGTGAAAATCGCCAAAAGTTGGTCTCACTTTGTAAGTTTTTCATTAAAAGCAAATATTTTTTACCCACACAGGTACAACTTAGTTTTGTGCGGGACGAAATCGCCACATAAAAGTGATAAAGAAACTAACTGCAAAAACCGTGGACGAAGATCCCGCTGGTTGTAAACGTTGGATCTCTAGAAAAAAGATCTAATCAGCTAAAATGTCCAAAAAACTAGAAGTCCAAAGACCACTACAAAGCTGATCATAACAACGTGTTTTGTTTTTTTCATAACAATATTTCTGTTGGCCATACCAGCCTTCTTCAGGTTTACAGATGTTACTGAATTTATGATAGGAACTACAATAATTAGTATATAGATAGAAATGTGGCAATAACCATTGTTGACAAGGGAGAGGCGGAAATGAAGTACAACATAGAAAAGAAAAGAAAAACTAATAAGGATATGGATTACAATGATTCGTCACGGCAGTTTAGGCCATTAGGTTCAAGAGTCATGGCCTTATCTATCAAATGTGACTCCCTCGCCTTAGTGACCGAGTCACGTGAAGAGTGAATTTTCCCTAATGAGATTAACTGCATGTCAGTGTGAGAATGGTCCGTGTGAGAGAGAAAGTGTTCAGAAACATTAGACGGTTTAGATTTAATGTTAGTTTTGTCGACTGGACGTCTGTGTTCGTTAAATTTGTCCTTGAGGCAAAAGTGACCAAACTGTGTTGAAGACAGTGTCGGTGTCAACATTTTTAGCAGAATTAAAATCACTATTGCGCTGATTTGATTGCCTGTTCTGGTATGGTCTCTTCTAGAGCTTAAAATATTGAACCTAAGCCAATACTTGAGAAATAAGTTGTTAATGACTAAATCACCGCTTCGTGTCAAACAAATATTTATCCCAAGTATTATATGAAACGTCACAAACAACAAAAATGAACTTTGAAAATCTGATATGCTATCAAGTTTCCAAAACCCACAATTGCGGTCCGTTAATCTCGTCAATAATAATCTCGTCCTTAGCTCCTTTTGTATTCGCCGGGTTAGTTGTACCTTCTCATGTGTCACTTAGATTATTCGTTTTGCTTTACTTTCTGTTTAGTTTATGGGACAACACTTTGTTGATTGTGACTACTGATAATGGCGGGGCATCTGATGAAGGTGGTTACAACTGGCCTCTTCGTGGTGAAAAAGGAAGCCTCTGGGAGGGAGGGGTCAGAGGAGTGGGTTTTGTTCATGGAAAAATGCTGCAGAGGACTGGAGTCACGTGCAAGGAGCTTTTTCACGTGACTGACTGGTACCCAACCCTCCTCCATCTTGCAGGTTTGCCCCCATTGATTGTTATAAATACTTAGATCACGTCACTCCTTTAGATCACTGAAGTGCCCTGTAAGAGTTGTTGATTGTCTATTTTTAATTAGTAGAAAAACAAAACGCTATTAACTTTGCCAGGTGCTTTGCTTCTTGTTCCTTGTCAGGCATAGAAGAGGATTCTGATAGTTCAGCGCTGGATGGCTTCAACATATGGCCCGCAATTTCTGAAGGGGTCCCATCAGAAAGAACAGAGATTCTTCACAATATTGACGGAAACAGTGCGGCAATTCGTGTGGGCGACATGAAGCTGTTGTTAAACGTAAAGAATCAAGAATGGTATGAACCGCCAGAGTTGTCCTCTGGGGCAAGGAAAACGAAAAAGGTATTAACAAGAGAGCATGATGGGATAGAGAGGGAAACGCCTTGTCTACTGAGCCCTTGGGATTGATGGGAATTTCACCGAAAATATTTTTAGACCAAATAAACGCTTGAAATTAATCGGAGGTTGGTTTCCAGGGAGGTCCACGAACTTTTAATCACTCAGTAGTTTTAAGAGGAAACTCAACAGTCACCACTCATAATTCTGCATTGTTTGAGGCAGTCTCAATGCTATGGCCCTCATCTTGCTATTTTCTAGAATGGTATCTTCTAGGGGTGAAATTAAGCTTAGGCCATGCTGGGTTTAATCCCAATAGGCCATTTTACAGTTATGTATGGAACCGAGGCTGGGGTTGACCTTGCTTTGATACAAACCTTCCTGCTTTATCATGTAAATCAAGTTATTCTTATGCTAACCAGTATTTTTCACGTACAATTTCCATAACAAAGAAAAGGAGGTTTGTATCAAAACAAGGTCACCGTCAGCCTCACATTCACTCGAAGGCTAGGGTGCTTAGTCCACAACGGAAAAATGGTCTATTGCCCGAAGAGCCCCTCGGCTCGCTTTACATGTCGGTCACCTCTCTCCTCCGCTCCCCCACACGCAACTGGGTATTCCGTACGAGACCAAGTGCGTTATCCACAGGATAGAAGTTTTTCCACTGCAAAGCATTGTCCTTAATTTAATGAACTGTTGCCATCCACGAATTCTGAACCATACATGAAGTCACCAATACACCAATAACGAGCTGACCACAGGCGGCCCAAGCTCAGTGTGTGAGTTTAATCATTAATAGATGTAGTTTCATGTTGTGTAATTTAAGCGATTTCCTTTAACTTGAGAAACTCGAGGTTAAAATAAATCGCTTAAATCGCAATGCATAGGGGAAATATCCAAACAAAGCAAAGTAAATACGGTAAGCTGTATTTTATTGAACATTCTAGCGAGTATTTATCTACTTGAATCTTTTACCTGAATTCCCATATAAATCCTTTATATTCACGGCCATTTTAAATTATGAAGTATGAAACTACATGTATTAATGATTAAACTCACACACTGAGCTTGGGCCGCCTGTGTTCTGACGTGCTGATTATATCCACTTTCCTTCTTTTAATCCTACAAAATTAATTATAAACAAACTAACGAGCTGCGATTTGCTATTTAAAATCTTATCATCCAGTTTAGTTAAATGTTTAGTTGTTTAGTTGTGACACATTGCTTCATATACATATTTTCTTTAATCTTCTAACTGCCTCCTTTTGTCATCCGCAGAAATCTGGTCGCAAAATTAGAGCTGCACTTTACAATATCACCGCTGACCCAAATGAGAGTCAAGATCTCAGACGCACGTACCCGGATGTGGTAAGGACGTTAAGAAGGAGAATCAGGTATTACAGGAGGGGCGAGGTGCCTTCTGGGAAACAAAGCTCTGATCCAGAAGCAAGGAAACTGGCGCGCAAAAATGGGTATTGGGGCCCATGGATTGACTGAGATTTGAAATCAGAAAAAAATGAAAGTCTCTTCATTGATAAAATTTATTGCAGACAGGGATAAATTAGCTTAGGTGATTTTATCGACGTTTATCGACGTGCAAGATGGCCACAGCTTTTTTTCGATTCGTGCTCTGAAGTGCGTTATTTGACGGTTACTTGTTATTTTAGGAAGATAGTACTGATTTTCATTATACTTTGTTTTCTCATGTTGCTGCCGATTGTTACGAATAAAGACTATTGCTGTTGACAAAAAGAGAGAATGAATTCGATAATAGGATCACTCTCCTATCCGGGTCAACGTTTCCTCATATAAACAATTTGGCTCGCCCAACTGTTCGTCTAGTCAGAGCGTGAGCGAACGATGTTGGCTTGAGTAAAGGTGTCAACTTTTTCTTTACTTAAAAAAAAAAAAAAAAAAAAAAAAAAAAAAAAAGAGAGAGAGAGAAAATACTCGGCAAAGAGGGCAACTCTCGTTCCCGGATTAAAGTTTTTTCGTATGAACAGTGTGTACGTGAGGCTGATATCGGGAAACAGCAATGGTCATAATTCTCTATACAATGCAGTGCAAAGTTGACCGGTTTTTTTATTGGAGGCAATTTTTTTTTATTGTTTTGTGATAGTACCGTTCTTGTTATTAACCCTCGGACGTACATGCAAATTCATACCCCCACCGTGGTACAAGGGGGGGTGGATGGACCCCCCCCCCAGACTTTTTGATATGTTGCAGTATTTCGAAACGATTTTACCTTCAAGGGATGCGATCACGGTTATGCGCATGCGCGCCGTTTGTCTCTTCCGAATAAATTTGTTGGGTCAGCACTAAATTCGAAATCGCCATTACTGGGTACAATCATTGAAAATCCTTCTTTTTATTCCGACATCCGTCGCTTTGGCTGGCCTAGTCATACTTTGGTAGTGGTTATTAGCGTGTGGTTGTGTTTTTTGACCGGTTACGTTTTAAGAAGACGCAAAAAATAATGTTTTGATCATGGAGCATTCTCGTCCCCAGAGTCCGTCATTTCTTTGTCACGTGGTTGGGAAACGAGGGGCTCTGGAAGTAGCCGTTACCGGACGTCAGAAAATTTCTGATTTCCGGTCGCGCATGTGCAGAAGTTACAAATATCACTACTCATGCTCATAACGGATTTTTGTCCCTCACTGCTCCACTGGGGAAAAATTTTACTTCCTGAGCTCTCTCCAGAGAGTGGCTTCTTTGGGATGTTTTGAAAATGCACCACTTCGCTCAACCTGGATTCACTGATAATTTGGAGTTAAAAGAAGAAGACAGTAACTGAAACCGGCTGAACACACTGTTGGTTTGCAGAACTGAGACAATTAATCGGCAGACTATCGTCTGAGTTATGTGAGTTTTTTTTTTTTTTTTCAATACGTTTGGCGAACAAACACTGGGAAAGCAATATCGCAGAGATCGATATAATGGTGGAAAAAGTCAATCTAAAAAGGTATCTTGTTCCATGGCTGCAACTGCTGTATTACTTCAAAACGCCTTTTGAAAAGAAACCATTCATGTGTTGTGTTAGGAGAGTAAAATATATATTTCATTTCACTCGAGCTGGTTGTGTTTCTTCCTATGTTTATTTCCTTTTGTGCGGGTGTCGCATGTCGTTGTTTTAATTTTGCCCAGGCGCTTTTGTGTACAACACTTGTTAGACAACCGAAGGATTTACGTCGAGACAAATCAATATTAATCATTTTACCGACCCAGGGTAAAAAACATATATTACAAGGTTTGTTCAGGAGAAGTGCCAGTCTAATACATGCACCTCCATGGGCTTCCATGCATGGCAACTTTGTACAGTACTGAGTGAATCCAATTCCACTTCAGTTCTCTCTGCATATCAACCCTAACTGAAACTTTAACCCCAGTTTCCTAACCCTGATCATAAAACTTCTGGGTCATTGGGTATTTATGGGGGCCATTCAGTGTTCTCCTAAAAGGGTTTATCCTCCTAAAGATTTCAGGTATCATCTTCTAACTAAAGATCATCATCAGTACCTCAAAGAGAGAGTTTTCAATAATTTTGTTGTCAGACTCAGAAAATCATTAATACCTGAAAAATGTTGATTGTGTAGTGACCAATCACCATAATGTTTAGTAAACATGTATGACGAAACCTCACAACCACAAAGTAATTACCATTGCTGTTTGAGGTTTTGTTTTCTCACCCTTTATTAGCTTTTTCTTTGCAACGCAATAGCATTCCTTAATATTTGTGGTATTCATGGTTTTGTACCTTTCACAGTATAGGTGAGCTCTTGTCACCTCTGTTGTAGGGGTATAAACAGTTATACGTACTTTTGATTACCGGTTACTACTGGACACTAGTTTAGTAGGAAGTGATGGTAATTATGCAAATGCATTTAGAGAGAAACCTGTTTAAGTACCACTTATGAGCTCATGGGTTACATATCTTTGTAAGGGGTTTTAAGGTTTTTTTCTTAGGAGAGGGCTTACAACTAGGGGGACATTTTTTCTTGTTCACTGGTAAATGGGCTTATAACTGGGGAGCTTACAAGTTGGCAGGTGGGGGAGGCTTAAAAGCAGTAGTTTATGGTAGCCTGTGCCAGACATTCAGGTATTGGGGAAGGTGCAAAGAGAGCAAAACTAAAAAAAATCCTGCATTTTTTAATGCTCTACTTCTCACTATCTGAATGCCTAGAACGGGTTATCATAAGCTATAGAGCTGTACTTTCTTATCTGGAAGAGTGAAATGTAGAGTGATATATGCACTGTATATAGACTGTATGCTTTAAGAGATCCCCCCATTAAGGAGTACACTTTGAGTAACACACAACCCAAAAGCATTTTCTTGGGTAGCTGCACTCATCATGCTTTGAGTGCAAGACCTGCAAGGTTTGAAATTGGGGATAGAACTCTGGATCAGGCGCGAAATAGGATAGTGAAAATCACTTAGTTTGGTCAAAATTTGTACAGTACAGTATCTGCTCACAGGTTTTGATAATGTATAAGTTTTTAGTTCCTTTAATATTCTCTATTTTGTGTTATAACATGAGGCCTCCAACTAGGAAAAAGGTTTAACCACAACTGAATCATTGACCAGTGGAAGCAAGTTTTAATTTGGCGCATCATTATTTGTCAATAACCAAGTAAACTAAGATGTCCTATGCTTCAGTAAGCCAATGCTGTGTCCAAGCTCAAGGAGGGGTGAAGAGCAGGTGTGGTTAGGTTTGGCGAGTAAACTATGATATTACCGTTGATCAAACTATAATGTTGTCTACCCTATCAAAGGTGACATACTGCAAAATCCAGTTGTTATCATCAACAACCACTTACCCCAGTATGATGCAAAATAGACTACTCTAGGCTGCTGTTCATTTATCATTTTATTAATTAACACCTAAGTTGTCCCTAAGATCGTCCAAAAATCTAGACCAGTTTTCACATACTGTATGCTTAATTATAAACAGTTAAGTTTTCTTGTATTTTAGAATTCTTAAACCGAAAAGGTTGAGAACATTGTGCTACCCTATGTAGTGATCAGATAACATAATTATTTATCAAGAAAAATTGTGCAAAATCTGCTTCTTTGTTAACCGTACATCAGTTGTAAGTAACCCCAGATCCAGTTGTTTATCTTTCTCTAAATGCCACACGACTGGAAGCCAAGCAAGGACTGTTAGGATGAGAATATCTTCCAGCAAAACCTTAACAAGTCGGCTCACATAGCCTTTTCTTTCACAGCCCAATTCTTACTGTTAAAATAAAAATTAAAAGAACGCCTCCGAATTATCTAAGCATGATTTAAGCATTAATTAAGTGAAAGAAAACGTAGATTGGAAAGAGTACTTGCTCTATCATCTTTACACAATTAATTATTGCCTTTTGCATGCAGCCCAAAATGATTCATAAGCAATTCAGTTCTGGCTTTTTGCACTGCCGTCAGTGGTCTAATGAAATAAAGACATATAACAAAATATTATCTTCACCTTAATATAGCAAAGGAGATGTTCTTTCAGCAGAAAATACAATAAATTAAAAGCACACTGCAAGAAACTTAACGTATATATCATTTCTGTAATGTAGTCGGAGCTTGATTTCCTTTCCTACTGTAGCACCGACGAATATCCAGAGGAATTAGAAAAACTGATTAGACTAATTAATAACGCCATACAAGTACAGTATCAATCGCTTGATTTTTAGCGAGCAAGGAGCAACAGGAAGAGTTAACTAACCATTACTCCTCCTCTCAGTTTCCCAGGAGATGCGACGGTCGAGACAGGGGCAAAGTTTAGCGCACAACGAAGGCAATACTTTCTTTGTCAAGGCTCGTTGTCTTTGTAGAAACTTCTCAAACTTTACCTGCAATTCTCTTCTTCACTGCTATTGCATATAAACAAAACAGGATTGTCGCAATCAACAAATCTCAGACACGGATTTTATGTTTTCAGGTTGAGAGAGCACGAAGTAAAATGTTATGCGCAGTAGATTTTATCTTTAATTTGCTCTGCGCATTCAATTGCCTTCAGCCAATGAAAAAATTCGTATTTTCCGTTGCGTCCAGAGCCACTGGTCGGTTACAAATTAAGTCGAGTGGCTCTGGGGACGGGATTGATCATGGAGGTTCAGAAGAGCATCGTGGCCGTCTGGCAACAGGACGTTCTCAAGAGTCTTTGGAGATAGAGAAGCTCAGCCGATCGATCTGGTATGGTTCTAGGAGTAGTGTGTGGCGTACGAAAAGAATACACGACACTTGGAAAGTGGTTAAAGGCATGAGTTAATTCGTTCAACTTTGATTTGATTTTTGACTCCGACCTGTAGTTATACCGCAACAGGCCGCGCGATCTTCACCGATCTGGTACACTTGAAATGTTCTTTGTATCTTTGCATTCACTATCGTATATGTTTAAGAATTGATGTTTTTAAACTAAATTATTGCCTGAATGTTCTGTTTATAATCTAGTTTCTTTAAATTATGTGTTCTACTCGATAACATTTGTTTTGCGGAACACTGACCC